CTAAGTTTTTGGCCTGTTTTGGCAACATCTGTACCATGCTGCACAATTATCGGTGGCTGTGTCACTTAGATTTCGTGTGCTGCGGAATCGGAGAATTTCGTGTGACGGAGCGGAAATCACGGAGGAATACGTCGTATTAGCCTTGATCCTGACACCATCCGCGGTTTTAATCACAAACTGATCAAAAACAGCTTCGCGTATGCTCAATTGCGATCCATCAACAATGATGAATGGAATTACCACGTCACTGACAGGCGACAAAGCCGGAAACCAAGATGAAAAGAAACCCAATCCATGAAAAATTTCGTGCGCTACAGTACTAACAAGTCAACTTGATTAGATTGAATGTTTTTATCGCCCTCAAAAAAAAAGTGCGGAAATAATTTGCTGTTGAAAGAGGCTATTATGTCGTGTGTATCATAAGGTACTGTGCCTGTCGGGTTAGCTAGCTTTGTTAATGCTTGGCAATAAAGTCGAACCACCGTTATTGAAAATTGGCTTTGCTGTACTGTAAATTTTTGATTATCTTCTGCAGCAAGCAGCAAGCATAAATTATTTTAAGCAAATTATTATTAGTATCAGCGATATTATGCAAAAAAGAAAATAGATGTTTATTGTCGGTACGTTTATGATTGCTAGAAAGTCCAAAAGCAGGAATGGCTGATAAGCAAAGAATGAATTGATTTGAAGTTTACTGGAGCAAATCATCCGGATATGTAGGCTGGGTATATTATTATTATGCATTCAAAATAAGAGCCAACTTTTAATAAAAGCTTATTTATTACACAGATCCTGATTGGTTCTTTATATTGCAAAAAAACAAACAAACCAAAATTCTGCGGGTTGGGAATAATAAAACGCAATATTGGGCAATCATCAATGAAATAAAATGGTTCAGAATATGCCCTTCAAGGTTTTAACTTTATATCTCATTTTTACTGTATGTTTATTTTCGTCATTTAATAATAATTACTGTCCGAGACTAGAACCAGGCAAGTACAGTATCAATGTTGTATATATGTTAAAAAGCTCAAACGACACTTGCGAGATCCATTTTAAATGATTACAAGCGCGTGAAATAATTAGACTTGACAAGCTGTGTTAAGTGGCTTGAAACTCATACTTTATGTTCGCATAACAAGAATACCTCAAGATTCACAGGAAAAGCTCGTAAATATTTGGCAAGCTACAATAACTTTATATATCATACTGACTATGTCGTATTCTAGAATTGCTAACACGTGCAAAGCAAGATAATCAATGTGGTATGACAAAAGCGTATTTAAGTAGTGACAATCGTAAATCAACCAGGGTAACCACCAGAAAATGGCACAGTATTACCAACAGAAGTAACTCTTTCTGTTGCTAAACTATTCTTTGAGCTGTAATAAAAGTTAAATATCAATGTGGGTTTAAAATATTCTGCTCGAAATTTGATTAGCCGCAGAAGCGGCGCAGTCAAAGCGTAATGTGATCAGGCGATGATTGTGGCTGAATTATTTCATCCGTATATTGATTGCTAGCTAATTTTGGCGAATACCAATTACTACACTCAGGTATAACCACCAGGGAATAATAGACTCTACAAGCGACAATCTTCCTGTCGAACACGTGACCTGATTGTCGTGTCAAAAGTAACGCTTAGAATTTAATTCGTTCATCATGTAATTACGACTATTTGGTTATTTTAGAAATGTTCCGTGTCGCTAAAGATATACGTGTTGGTTAGGTGCAGTAATCATAAAAGAGGATGAAGAAATTAAGTTATCGATCGGTTGCAATATCCGCGGCGAGAGTGACTAATTAAGAGCATGCACTGCATATTTAATTGTCTATTCAAAAGAGGGGTTTGATATTCAGGCAAGCACCATAAATTTTATTACAATGTGCTGTTCAACTCACTTGTCAATTAAATATATAGAATCCATAATATAATACTGTAATAGCAAATAAGTGCAAGGTTAAATATTATATAGGTGAACGTTTAACTGGCTCCTCCATCATCATATTACGGAAAGCGAAGAAAGTGGAAATGACATTTTCCATGTTATTGACTCTATCAATTTCAAGATTCCGTTGCTTTGCAAATTCTGAACGTGAGATAATTGTATTCTTTACACCGCTAATGTGCCCGTCTTTTATCTTCTTGGGATTACCTCCATATATCGTATTATCGACTAAGGATGCGAAATGCGCAAAGATGGCTTCCCTGGCACATCGACGTAGATCTCTTTTAAGTGGATCCAAAACGCCTCCGAGGTTATAGTTCGCATCTTGAAAATCAAAGAAAGGTTGGGCACTCGTACTCTGCACCGTAATGATAAGAATATTATCATAAATGTTTACATACCTCGTTCCCATTGTGTGTAGTACTTCTGTATCATTTTGCGAAGTCGTACCTTTATTCCTGTTTTAAACGATTTTATAAGCTTTTGTCGTTTGACGTCTAGCCGTTTATATGGTATGTAGGAGCAAGGCATTGACATGTCATTACTAGAAGAACTAAGCAAAGACATTTTTGCCGCACGCCTTACGCTAGGCGACCAAATATCAGAAACAAGAGACATTAATGACGGCTGTCTGGAAAGTCTGCTGCTTCGTTGTTCTTGATTAGAAATATAATTGCGTGAATCATCGGAGTAATTGGAGCAAGTGTCGCTAATAACAACCGTTGAGCTTTTTTCCTTTTCATCATCAACTATTGATTGAGTAGGCAACACTACATCGATCCTTCTAGTTTTCGTGGATCCCTGCATATACAGCGACTCGGTCGAAAATCTCGGGTCAGCAAAGCCAATGATCGTCGCATCTCCAATACGGTGAAGAAGGTCCATAGACTGTTGATGAATCTTCACAGCTCTTCTATTGGGCAAAATGGACTGATGTATTCCTGCTCTAAGACTTTCAACAAAGGCGTAAAGCTGAGCCAAAATGTCTAAAACAGAGATAGAGTATAATCAATAATCGAGAGGTCGCAAAAAACCAAAAAACTTGCATAATGCTCCACACATTAACGTACCCAGTATCCACTCGCCAAGGGGTGTCCCTTGCTTGACGGGAAACATGTCGAAAGCTTCCATCTCTTCCCGTGATTCACTATAGGCAGTTGTACTCTGTACGTCGTTTTTAATAGCGTCATCATAAATCGGTGGTGTTTCCGAGATCACTTCATTGTAATTGTCAGCTTGATCAATCTCTGCTATTACTTCGTTGTCATCATTCTGATCAACCTGTGCTTGATCAGGTTCTTCTGGATGGGCTGGCGATGAAGTATTCTCGCATTCTTCCGAAATTGTTGCCAACGTGACTTCTTGCTTGGTTGTTTTGCTCAACGCTTCCACTTTCCAAACTAGGCGCCGCAAGTTTTCCATCATCTCCAAAACCTAAAAAAAAGTTTCCAATGCACGGTTAGCTACCAATGTCAATATGAAAAGATTAAACTAGTAAAAACGTAGAATACCTGCTCGTCTTCAAGGGAGTAATTGTCTCCAATACCATCGCAAACCGTTGATAACTCCACAGCAACATCATAAACGATCTTTTGCTTGATTATTTCTGCTATTTGTTGTTCTCTGCTATCAAGCGTCCGGTGATCACTTGTGGGGAACGAGCGAACGCTATCTGTATCAGTGTTGAATCTAGTAACGAAAATTTGCCCCAGTAGATGGAAGAGAGTATCGATGCCCAAACTAGCGATAACTCCTCTCAAGTTTACCGGTGTGTTGGTAAATATTGCAGGATCCACATCCTCAGCTGCAGTTGCAAAGATAATCTTAAGACACAAAGCAAAAGGAGCAAATTAATGAGAGTACTAAATAAATCGATTCAATCAATGCTTCCAAGCAAGTTGTTACATACTCTTTGTTTCGTAGTTGTCAAGGATGGTAAAACCTTTACACGACCACCTGTTTTTACGTAAATGTTTTTTTTTGTGCGAAATAGAGGCTTTTTTGCATCATGCCATTTGTAGATGATGAGATGCTGAATGTTGGGACGCGACTTTTTCAACCTATTATCGACCTTTGCGGCCTTTTTCTTTATCCGCCTCTCCATGTTGCAGAAAAGCTTAGCTTGTATTTGTACTTTAACAATTTCCTTAATTAAAATTGAAGGGTTGGTGTTATGGATGGACTCTCTGTCATCAACAATGTCTTTTTGAGACAATGTTTTAGTGCTTTCGGAGGAATCTTCCTCGTCATCTTTATCTGTTGGTTTAATAAAGATACAGTTATACCAACCGTTTCTGTAGCGTATAACCAAATATACCTTTTTTATTTATTTACCTTTGTCTCTCAAAGACTCTGTTTGTTTTATACCCAAATGTGTCATAAAGTGTCGAACACGCTCAAACTTGTATTTAATCGGTTTCCTTGCCTTATAAGGCGTCTTTCTCAAATCGTTCAACGTGGAAACACAGTCACTTACAGTGGTATTAAAATAAACCACATAAAATCTATAAAACAATTAATAGATTGAGTAAGCTTAGAAAAACGTAAAATAGTTTCTACTTAAAAACGCTAATAAGAGAAACAAACTTGTTGTCATTTTCATGGATTGCTTTCAACCACTGAGTATCAGTTTAAAACATGTTAGCCATTTGCAAAGAGCACAAAACACACAGTCGCATCACCTACCTCTTGCTTTACCATAAAATCTAGTGCTGTAACCATACGAGACTCGTCTCCATATACATATTCAAACTCGTTGTTTAGTATTATAAACGTTTTTCCAACATGGTCCTTCATTAGTGTGGTGGTAGACTCTTTTGAAAAACTTGTACTTATACGTTTTGTTAAACTAAAATGTCCCATTAATGATATATCCCACAGAAAGAATCTGAGACCAAGTCGCTGCCTGAGCAAAGTATCCCACGCCACATATTCATTACGGGTTCTGATTTGAATCGAAATCGATAAGTAAATCATTTTCTCTTCAACATTTCAAAGCCATTAGAAGAATCATGTATAGATGATGCATGCTCACGTTTTATGGTTGGTGACAATTAGTATGTCTGGATAAAATCCTGGTGGAAAACCACTGTAAACGTTTGACATTCTGACATTGAAGGATTGAATATGAACAACGTTTGATGCAGAAGGTGTAAGAACCTGTAAAGAAAGAAAAACACATTATAAAATAATGACTTATTTGCAATCATCAAGTTGTTTCCCACTGTATTTCATACCTTTCCAAGTTCTAAATATAACCAAAATTCTGCATATTCGTAGAGTTCTGCTTCACTTATTACTAAATTAGCCTCCAAGTGTAGTGTTTGACCAGCTCGTAACAAAGGAATTTCAAAAATAAATTCTTTATCCAAAGTCTGAGCTGGGGAAATATTACCAACTCCTTGTTGTTCTGGATTTAGTCCAAAACGTATGGCAGAAGGCGAGATCTCTCCATATTTCTTGCGTATTCTAACGCGAACACAACGTCCATTTTCGGAGCGAGTACCAAAATCTACTTCGGATGTATTTGTCACACCCCAGATAACCTTCGTTTCAATACCAGTAATCTAGGTATAACAACAAATAATATAAGAAACAGCCCAGATGGTTATGTTATTATTATACAAGCAGCAAACGCAAATATTACCATAGAGTTCATGTGCGACACACGAGTAAACTCGATAGGATATTGTATGTTAATAATATGGCTCCGGTTATTAAAAGTTGGAAATTCCTTTCCAAGCCCAGTCATATTGGCTTTCAGGCACAACTCATCGGATGCTCGAAAGGGTGGCCCTAAGAACATTGATAGAAAATGTCAAGTTCAGAACTACGTTAAAGTTGGAAGAAACAATTTTGATTTATATATACCTGGCTCGTCCACTGCGTGTTTTCTGATAATGAACGAGAATGGCTTTTTGCAGTCAATTTCTTTGTAGGCATTTGGTCCAATTAGGTGTGGTAATGTTGTAAAATCCATCTCTTTTTTGTTAAGAATCCATACGCTATCCTCAATGGTGATACGGATATCCCCTAATATGTCAATAAAACACAAAGTGAGTATAACTTTTTCAAATTTATTTACTGCAAAAACTGATCTTGTAATCAATACTATACGTCTTGGTGTGGGCATTGTAGATTCATTGTGAACTGTCAAGCTGTCTATATGAATTTCGGCTTCGGGTTCAAACACCCCTGTGGCAGAATGAACATTGACTTGTTCTAAATGTATATTAAAAATCTCATCGTAAACCAAGGATCCCTTTGTAACACTAAATAAAAGTAGAAAGTGATTGTCAAAACTTGTAGAACAAACAAATCTCATTTCTGTCTTTTAAACTCGATAATTAAATGACCTGTCTTGAATGACGAATCGAATAGTCCCGTCGTTTCCTGGCTTGCCATCGTGAAGGTGATAATTCGGACGTCGCCCACTTGCGCCAGGAGTACCGTCATGTCCACCTAATATTTTAAACACATGAATTTAAGCTTATAATCATTGCAGGCTCAATAATATTAATGTCTCATACCGTTTCGATGATGGTTTATACTTGTTGTGACCAATTGTCCATTATTATCGTAGTGTTCTCTCGTTTCTCTCCAGGAATAACTGGATCCACCTTTACCACCCTCTCCTCCGATGCCTGTTGACGTGAGAATCGTAATTAGGAAATCTATCAAAGCAAGCAAAATGATCACATGCAAGAAATACCTGGCACTCCATGCTGACCGGCTATGCCTGTAATTGTACTGCATTTAGTCATGTTATTAAATACCTAAATGATTGAAGCAGAACAAGATTGTATTTACCGCCTGCACCTCCACTAACATCTAAACTATAGACAATTTTGGGAATCCATGTTTCCACAAACATCATCAGCAATCCAGCATCTGTATCCAACATGCGTAAAGTAATTTCACCGCCATTTCCGCCATTGCCACCACTAAATAATGGTCTTTTGTTAGACGGAAAAAAGAATATACAATTGATTGATATATTACCGACCTAGTTCCCGCGCCTAGGTATTCAGAACTGGTGTCAGAAAGTATACAGACATATATCAGCATACCGTAACAAATCATTGAAATCTCTTACCTGCATCACCACCGTCGCCACCTTGTCCTCCATCAGTTGCAGGGTAGTGCCTTTGTTGTTTATCAAAAATTAGTGTTTAGTTTTAACATTTATTCAGGTAGAATACCAGACTTGGCAAAGACTTACTCAGAAGCGTTGCGTCCTTTTGTACCCCAGGCACCATCGCCTAAAATGATTTCGCATGTGTTATTATTATCATTTTTGTGTTTTTTAGCGTAAAAATGCAATAAAATACTTACCTCCATCACCTCCATCGCCGCCAATTCCACCATTCCCTCCACGTGCTATAATGTTTGGTAAACAATTGGTCGATTAATTACTGATAATGCTTTACAGGACCGATACTCCGGATCGAACGCCAACTTTCTTTTTTTGGTAAAACAATGTTGGCTTTTGCAATTTTTCGCTCGATTACCTTCTAGCTTGAAACAACTATCGATATCACATATGTACGTTTTATTAAATTCTTCAAACTTATGCTTCACCTCACGGTAACGGCCTGAGAACTCGACGGAGAGACCAGTAGTAGTATCACTAGTTATTTTGAAACGTAAAAAGTAAGATACGAACTAATAAAAAGTATCATTCGGTTACAGCATCAGAACCTTTCGGTGAGAGTTATGTCGATTACTGTTACGTAATAATAATGTATTAGTTATCAATATATACGGTTGAGTTTACCATACTTTAATTAGACTGTTTATACCTCCGCCATCATTTCCTTTGGTTGGCTCAGTTGCATTTCCTCCGTCTTCTCCATCATCTCCTTTAGATTCTCCCATGCTTCCATTCCGCCCATCTCGGCCGTTTCGTCCATCAGTTCCCGACGCACTGAGTATAAGATTCATCTTATGTTCGCCCGGTCTGGAGTGGAAAAAAAATTAACGATAAAGATTTCGCAATGAGATTATATTTTGCATTCTGGCAATGAATATATAGATGGCTATTCCTGTTATCACGGTTGCATGCTGTGTGAATCATGTTTGTTTCTGCACACAGCAAACTTATCACAGGTGATACAGTATAGATAGAATATCGATAATTAGAAATAGACAATGGCATCATTATTACGCCACATTTATAACATGTGATGTGTAGTACGACCAGCTATCTTATTAATATTACCCTACCCTACAATTGATGCACAATCTCATTCGTTACAAGGGCATCTTTTTTCTAAATCAATACTTTTTATTACCTTTTCTGGTGAACTTTATGCGCATTACTAATGCAACCTCTTTATACAACGCTGCCGAATCAACTGTTCTTATTCCAGATGAAATTGGAACCATAACTTTGTACTGTGCCTACTATTATTGTCCAATTAAACCACTTAATTGCTGAGTTTTTCCATAAAGTAATCGCCTACATTAAAACCTATTATTACTAAATCAAATGCTGTTGAAAGCGATAATGTGACCATGTACACATGGCTCGAGCAGTCTTGGAATTAATGCGTCGTTGTCCACGTCGGACCATTCCTTGAGTGCGGAATTCGGGTAGTAATATTATACGATAGTTTTCACAAAGCCATTTAGCTAGTTTATGATGACATCATCCACAAGGCAACGGATTCTCTTGTGAATGCGTAACATAACCTACAATTAAAAGTAGTCTTAGTATATGTGTTAAATTATAAATAAATATTAAATAAATAATAAATAATTTAATTAATAAAATTTACCTGTAACGTTTTCGCTTATTTCTTTTCCCATGAATGCAATCGTGTTTACTTTGAAGATGCATGGTTTAATCGATAAATTCGGTCAATGTCATTTTTACCCCACTCAACAGCTACTCCACTTGACTTGGATCATAACCTGTCATAAATGTACGTACACCCGGATCCAGAGAAATCACTCCTGATCCCTCCTATTAAATTATTAAATAGATAATTAATAGATAATATAATACACCCAAGTATTGGTGATTTTCGTCGATCAATTAGTAAAACATATGAATTTTCTTTTTTTTCGGACATCTCTATTGTCTGTAGGTACTATGTAAGTTGCAACAATTTTTATACTGTTTTGAAGTGAATTGACTGTAAAAGGCTTGCAGTTCGATAAAGTGGTGGCGATGTTACACATTAATATGTTGTTCGTACATTTTCATACGTGTAACATAGATACTGTCACTACTCTTTCATTACAGTGACTATTTTTAAATTTCACGTTACTTTTTTTCAAAAAGTACAATCAATTGATTTCAAAAAGAATTTTTCATATGTTTTACTAATTGATTGACAAAAATCACCAATACTTTTGGTAAGTGGATGTATAATAAAAAAATTAGATCAATATCTTTTGAGATATAGGGACTTGGTTTTCAGCCCGTATTTCAAGTGGTCCGGGTATACAAAGATAGTATTCCCCAAGTCGATTCACGACAAGGCGGCTATCATATTCAAGCTTATATGGGAGAGGTTCTGCTGACTTGATTTTAGAAAGAAAGGAATATTCCCCACGAGACTTGCCCCAGTGTTTAGAAAGTATCGCAATGGATTGTTGAGGTTCCTTTTTGGAACTGAGCTTTTATGATTGGCAGCAAAGTTGGAGGAATATCCTTTAAGCAAGCCATTCATTGCTTCATCGCGAATGTCATAGGGTGTTTCAAGGACCCATGCGAGTTTAGTATCATTAAAGTTTGTGGCATTGAGACA